TATTCTCAGGAAACTGTTCCTGTCAAGCAAGATATATAACCCAGATATGTGGCTGCAGAAAGCGCCTACGTACAGTACCTGTGCATCCTCTTGTCATCTGTCAGGGTGACCGAACAAAGTATCAACGATGCCATTCATAGTTATCAATGATGCCATGATGATGATGAGAGAGAAGCTTGTTAATTAGCACTCAATGCTAAATAGAATAATGCAAATAACCGACACGCTGGACGCCTATATATAGAGGCCTACACGGCCTCTATACAAAGGTCAAGTTCCAAGCGTTGTCCTAAGTTACACCTACATTTCGCTGCAATCGCAGACACCGTAACATCATCCTGATGTGGAATGCTACAATCGGGCTACAGAGGAGTCAGATAATGAGGTGCATCAGAGGAAAATGATGATGTTCATAGTACTATTCATGTCGTTAAGACATCATGTACTGTAAACGGAGTGATGCTCCTAGCACTATGCAAGTCAGTTGACCTGCCACATTGAGCAGCAGTAAGCGATGTTACTGTATGCGACATTTTATTTTTAAAAAGAAATGCATGTCAGTTAAGAAATGACGTACTATAAAGCCCCAACATCACCACTCATGTATCTAATTATGCATCTTGGCTGTTTTATCCTTGTAAATTGATGAGTGGCCCGCTTTAGTGATGAGTAGCCCAGTTACCGACTGGCCTGGATAAGATGGCTGGCCCCGAACAGATATACAACACATATGAAAACGACAGCGATCCAGAAAACGATACTCGTAGCAATCGATGGATTCCCCTCGATTAGAGGAATTCAGAAATCAAATTGGAGATGGAGACGCAGGTCCACGAGCTCAGGAAAGCGGCCATCCACGAGAGCACTGAAGATATATCCGACACTTGAATACAAGCCAATCAGAAGTTCAAATCCACAGAAAGTAGCCAATTGGAATAGGGCAATGACGCAGGAACGGGAAGTAACAACCAATATATGTATAGTAGTAGGTAAAAATGGTAGAGAAGGCAAAGAGGGATCGGGCGGTACACCAAGTTCAGGCCCGTCAAAACCACTACCCCATAGGCCCCAAAACTCTCGATTGCTGCATAAGCCAACAGATCTCCGCGCGCTGATTCTATCAATGAAATTTTTTTTCTCGAGATACGGGTGAGCTGTTGAATAGCCAGCACCGTGACTTGAAGTTTCAAGACTAGCGTGCATTGCGAGTTCCACCCACTATGCACTATGCCCGTAAACATGTTTGTAGTAATCATGGGCATTGCATCTTTGTGGCCTTAGCTACATGCTGAGATCAATGAAGGTCTATATATCATACAATTTTACAACTCCATCCATTATCGGGGTCCTCTCACCCAGCTGGTCCAGGCTCAGACGCACAATTCCGGTTCGCCAGTGACGGACTTGGCCGTTCCTTGATCCTCCTTGCAGGCGAGAAGTTATCTGGACACTGCGATTATGTAGTTCGCTGCTGTCAGGGCCTACTAGGGAAGGGGAAATCCACCCATATTGACTTGCAAAGCTGCTTGTGACATTCGGTCTCATCAACCGATGGCTGCAGCTCTATTGCCGCTTGGAAGTCAGTAAGGAGTAGCATCTGCACCCTACCGTCAACAGCCTCCAGGGTATCCCTCTTGAAAATAACATCCCCATCCCACGTCACCGTTGCCTTCGTCCCAACCCATCGGCACCCTTCCCCTTTCTCTGCCACCACATGGCATGAGCACCACCCACCCTCGAATCCTCCTTCTTCACTGCAACTTCCATCTCTAAAAATCGTAACTGAGTCACCCTTCGTCTTCGCTCCATGATGCCTTCTCGCACTTATCTGGAGCATCTTTCTTACCTAGCTTGAGGCTGATCAGTCTATCATGATGATAATCTTTGATGTTGTCTGTCCTTCCAGTATTGAGGCGTCCCTTAATCATAGCATGATCGGAGCCTGCTATCCATGTGATTTCTATTCTTGTCTACTAGGTATAGGAAGCTGCTCATAATATCCGACTCCATATTAGCCATCAGTAGGCTTCCGAAAATTGTGGAGGGATAGCTGATGCTAGACGGGCCTGCCCATATGTCCAGGAGAGAGCCTAATAGAGCAGAACAGTAGGAGAGAAGCTGAATGTAGCAGTTTTTTTTTTTTTTTTTTTTTATATCAATACTCGCGTGCCGCCCTATGGGCTATGGCGAGGGAAATGTAGCAGTAATATGGGCCAAAGGGCACAGGAGAATAAAGGAAAATAAGGAAGTGGACAAGGTGGCAAACATTGGCACATTCCTGCAGTATCAAGATGAGACGGAACCTCTCCGGACAGGCAGATTCTGCCTGCCGCTCCCGGACCTCATCAGATGATAAACTTTACGCTATGTGATACTGTGATACAGGTACCAACATTGTAGGGTAGGTAGATCGATTGTCGGTACTTGTTATCAGCATTTAGTGATGCAAAATGGAGGCCGGTCATAGCCCATACAAGAGGTCAGTGACCTGGTGTGGCAGCAGGGTATCATCTTTTTGGAGAGGACAGTTTTGTAGAGAAAACAGCAGCCTTTCTCTTGGGTGCCTGGGTCAATAGCAATGTAGCAGCAGATGTCCACAGCCCTTCAACCAACGCATGCTATGCTATTACAGCACTTAATGCAAGTAACGAGTAGTATTACTTACCAATACGAGCTTCCATGTCTCAACAAGCTTGGGCCTTTGTATGAATTGCAGGCACCAATTCCAATCACTTTCATTCATCTTAGATGGCTATTAACTACATCAACCGAATCTACACCGTCAATGTCCCAAACTGCCGGTGTGATGACGGCTCAACAACATCCATTGTTTCGCACGGGTACCGGTATCTAGAGCTGGCGGAACGAAGCCTCAATGGCGGCCTCAATGATGAAATGTCAAGGAAAGGGTCTTCAATTGTCTTGTCTGTGCGTGTCCATGTCTGTCCTGCTTGCTTGTCTGCCCATACAGTCCTATCTACATCAATTTATAGACCACCTTCACCTTCCAACTGAGCCTATACATCCACATCTCGCTTCTTGAATGTAGCTTTCTTCCTCATCCTATGCATGTGGCCCTACCGATGAGTACCGCTTCGGCCCGCGTTTGGCCTTATTCTTTCCATTGGTACCGTGGTTACCACCACACCGGGTCGCGATCATTGCAAATGGCTGGATTTTATATATATATATCATTACTCGCTTGCTGCCCTGGGGGCTATGGTGGGAAATTACGTACAAAGGAGAAAAAGAAGAGATGGAATGAAATAATGTGAAGTAAACGAAACCAAAACCCAAGATTTAACGCTGCTAGCCTACATGCTACTGATCTGCCCCCCTCAGGAGTTCTACCAGTGAGTTCCCTTCTTCACTTGTCTCTGGAGGTTGGAAACGGCTGGATTGTCCCATGGCCAAATGGTGCTCGGTAGGATTATCATATTCTAGTCAAATCATCTATTTTGTTTTTTGTTTGTTTGTTTGTTTGTTTTTTAGTCACATAAGCTACTAGTACATACAAGTAACCGGCTTGTAGCAGGATACAATTATTTGAACAAGAACAATTTCATACCAATCATGATCTTTCTAGCAAAGACTTTACTTACTTTCAAGCCTGTAAAGCTGCATAGCTCATCCAGCAGTCTGAAAATCGTCAGGCTTTGCAGGATATACTGAAGAGTTTACTACCTGCACCTGCACCTCAATTGTACATCCTCAAAAGGCTCCACACCGCCAATGAGTAATTCTTGTGGATCTGGAGTAGTGTACTACAAATATAATATCCTAAGCCAAGAGACAGCAAAAGAGGAAGACTACTAGCCGTACGACCAGACGAGTGCCCTGCCATGGCAAACAGCTGCAAGCGGGGTTACGTGATATTAAAAAAAAAAAAAAAGGCTGGACGAGTGATATCACAGAGTGAAGTACTACAGGAAATCCAATATTTCATTTTTGTTTCCTCATCTGCTCGTTAATTCAGATCTATTTTTCCATTTTTCATTTTTACTTAATTGAGTAATCATGCATTCAAACTAACGTAGTAGCTCACTGCATGGGCTGATATTTGGTAGCCAGTTGGCCTGTACGGACTTAGGGCACTAGTCAACTTTCAGCTTGTCTTGCCATATGCCTGTACCAACAACCAATCTACCTACCCCACAATGTTTGTACCTGTGTCACAGCGTCATAATGTAAACTTTATCGTCTGATGAGGTCCTAGAGCGGCAGGCAAAATCTGCCTGTTTGGAGAGGTTCTGAAGATGAGATAATTATAGAGGCAGGCATGTACTAGTATACTAAGACACCGCGAGCAGAGAAAAGGAACAGGTTGGGACTGAGCTATAGGTTCTTTTAAAGGCTGGGCCCTAGAGTACAAATGCTAGCTGAACTACTAGGGAGCAAAGGTTTGCAAGCGTGGGATTACAAGCTAAGTAAGACGGATGGGCCAGAATGCAGATAGTACGAGGATGAGGAGGAAATGACATCACATATATGAATTTATTTTATTTCCTTTTACCAACGATCAGGGACGGGATGACGGACTATTTTCTTAATACCTTTTCCCCTATATGTACTTAATCTCGCCATAGCCCATAGGGCGGCACGCGAGCAATGATATTTAAAAAAAAAAAAACATATATGAGAAAGGTGCAGGGAGTGGAGAAGGAGATGGCTAGGCAGACTGGAGGCATTATGCCAACCGCCAGAGATGGACGAAGGAGAAGGAGACCGATTGCGGAGCTCATGAGGTGGATAGAACCTAGTCTGATTGCACCAACCCTCCGACCGTACTAGATAGAACCTTAGGGGTTTGTAACCGGGGCTACTCAGTTATATTCCTTACTTCATTTTTCTCAGCTTTTCCTTTCCTTTATTCCTTATGTAACTACTCTCTCCATAGCCTACAGGGCGGCAGGAGTAATGATAAATAAATAAAAAAAAATAACCAACCAAAAGAAAATACAAATAAAAATAAGCATAAAAATTATGAAAAAAAAATTTTACGGTCCTAGAAAGGCTCGAACTTTCGACCTCCCGGTGCCATACTTCATTCTTTTCATTTGTTCCCTTTCAACAAATTTCTTACGTTGAAAGCGCATTTGAATAAAGTTTAACAGCCGGACGCGCTAACCAATTGCGCCATAAGACCTTCTTTGATGAATGGCTATTGAAAAATAAACATATAAAGCAATGGGACGGTGTGCTAGTCGCTGCAGAAGTACTGTTGGCCTCTCCTTGGTATCAGATAGACGTATTTACCTCTATACTTCAAGATGGCTATTGATATACTTAAGCAAAGCGGTCACACAGCAGAGCACTGCCGTACTGAGACTCACTTAGAAGGCGGATGTTGGATGCCATATCAAACATGAGCTGACATCATGTCTCATATATGCTACCCTGGCTGTCCTTTATATGGCGACACCCATAGTATCGCGATAACTGCTCAGTGGAACGGGTTTCTAAGCCAAATTTTACGCTCTCGGCATCCTCAAAATCGAAGGAGGAAGTGGACAATAGGCTCAAATGGCTGAAACACAACAGAAAATATGGACCGTCGAAAGATCACTCAGTGGGACCAAATCCAAATTCCTCGATATCAGGGCATCTTGTTAATGCTATACAAATAGATATTTTTAAGCCACATAATCTTGCATATCGGCTACTTGCCGTGTAGCTCCCATCTGTTTGCTGGACTTTCATTGTATGATTCGTGATGATGTTGTAGTGTTACAACTTTGAAAATTTGAACAGTTTCCGATGACACTACAACATGACCAAACTGTCAAGGTAACTTTGACTTTACCCTGAATCCCACGTGATCAATCTTCACTCAATGCAACGTGAGCTGGTACCTTAGAGCGTCTCTGCCATTTGATATATATGTACCTTCTATATCATGCCAAAATCTGAATCCAGGAATGTTGTCCTTACGGTAATGTGCCACAAACTGTTTTTACCCGTATCATTTGGAAACGAGAATTAACAGCAAGAATTGGATGGAAAATGCCGTTATGTACCAATGTATCCATGCGCATGAACTTCCAAGAATATATTCTCGCACTCAATCCGTGTGCCTGCATTGAAGCTCGGACAAAGGGAATCGGGATGCAATGAGTTATATGTCCTTTAGCTGCTACATATGCCCTGCCATGGTTCGAACAGCTGCATGTGGGGTCACGTGATATATATATATATATAAAAAGCTGCTACATATATACTTTCTCATGACTGGATCTGAAAAAACCTCTCCTAGACCACTTCAGGCTGTGTCCTGCGACATTATACCAAGTTGATACGCGGGAACAATTTCCATTCATCATCCAACTACCACAAGCAGTCATATTCAGACCGCTTACGAAACCGCGAATTGTCTGTTTACGAATCTCACTCACTGGCATAATCATCCTCGCAATGAACTCTCCATTCCGAGTTTTCGTGGGCCGCTATCATCTTATTGCCGTTGGTATAAGTTCTGTCTCCTGAAACCTACAAGTAGCTACAAAGTATGCAACTACACTCTGTGTAACGATACCTGTTTTCCAAAATAACCGCTGCTCTTCTGAACGGAGCCCCCAGGGCGGCACGCGAGTAATGAATTTAAAATAAATAAATAAATAAATAAATATGAACGGAGCTATCTATGGATTGCCAGTAGACAAGCAAAGAGGAGGGAGGCAATTTAATCATGGACATACTCCAAATTCTGTTCAGCCGAATTGATTGGCGTTCCTTTCATACAACACATAAAATCATATTAGGAGTCTGGGGCTCTTACAAATCCGAAGAAAATTATCCTGTTGAGAGATTATCTGTATTTCTAGTTAACTATTATACTTTCAGGAGCATTATGCTCCACTACTGTAAATAGAGATAACTTGTGACTCTAGACACTCTTATGTATAGCCAGTTTATATTCACAGACAAACCGGCGACAGTACTGTGTTTCACAACATCTCGACGCACGCCACAATTCGACGCACTTTCCCACCAAAACTGAGCGAATGAGAACCTGTATATCCCCACGCACAGAACCTACTTTTATATGCGCATTTTAGGAGGCTTAAAGCAAGCATCATTCTTCAGATCCTGCATCTCTACTTGTAAAAGAAAAGTAGTTTTGAATGAATTATATCTTTGCACATTATCACATAAGTCTTGGCATATATTTTTGCAGTAAAATTGCAGATATGGAAATCTACTCACTGCACCTGCAATTGATTCAAAAATAATATTTAAACACTTCATTTGAGTAACCTACCCCTATGGAGATATACATGAATGGTATCAACATAATACTCAAAGTAATTGTTCAAGATATTTTCATTCTTATAGAACTATTGTATACAAATAGTATCGGAAGATCACCTGAAAATATATACCAGCATGCCAACTATGCAATGTATCAAAATGGACTGGATAAAATCAAGTGAATCAATATACAGTTAGGAGAGGCCCTTTAATCACAAGACTATGGCCATTGGTGTGATAGTGCTGAAAAAGAGTGTTATGTTTAGTCCACTGAAATATTGTCATTGTATGGGAATCCCATACAATTAGATGTTAAGACATTATTACAAATTTCGCTGTGCCATAATTCCTTGAGAATATTTTCTTTCAGCAAGCAGAGGTGCTAAACATGAAGAACAAGTATTTATTTAGTGTCTCTAAATAGCGTTTACAAAATTCTGCTCTAGTGGTTGAGGTACACGCTCCTCTGAGTGGCTAGTTTTGGTAGGAAAGTGCGTCGCATTGTGGTGTGCGTCGAGATGTGGTGAAACACAGAGTAGAATAGTTACAGGTAGCATATTTTGAGTCTAATACCCCAATTGGTTTGCTGTCTTTCATTATCTAACATCTACGGAGTACGCTACAGCGCATGTGTTATTCCACTAGCTGGCCAAGGTGACTATTGCTTCCATTTTGCTCACCCAATCAAAGACATTATCTTATTGTAGCCCTGATTCAGGAACTCCTAGTTCGGTTACAGGCTTCGCTTAGAAGAAGGCGTTGGAAGCGGCAGTTGGATAGTTGCACGTTGTACCGTACATAGATTCATAGCCTCCAGCACTGTTCTCAGGATCACCGCAGTCTGGCGCTGTCTCTAACATGTGGCGGTGCTGCGCTTCAAGATACTGGTACTGGTACTTCCCCACGCCTCAGCCGCAGATTTTGTACAACTTGATAAGCTATTCAGCGGTCTGCAATATGTGCCTGCATGCTATTGTTTGGCTTTGGCAGTATCACTTTCCCACCCACTGCTACTTTACACTCTCAGCTAGTCGGCGATATCAACGCCTAAACCCTTGCCAGCGTCTTCCCCTGAAATCAGGGATGAATTTAACTAACAACAGAACCTTGGCGCTGGCCCCCGCGCCCATATGTCTGTTATCCCTGAGCCCTGTCTCCAAGGTGAGCACCTTAATCTCAGTTGGTACCTGCAGGGCAAGCACATCTATATCTCGTGAGATCCTTGGCTTTTCACATTTGACGTAAAGGAACTACCTCAAGGAAATGAACCACAAAACGAACCACCTCTGGTATAAGTCATAGGTGGGCCTCTGATTAAACGGAGAGCATGCCATATCATAGCCTCAAGGTATACACCGCAGCACCGCGCATCATTTAAGAACCAATTGCAAAAGAACAACTCAACTAGAGACCTTCCGCAACGCCGTCTGGAGTAGACTGAAACCCCCCGTTTCTACGTCTAGAACTTTGAACAACTATAGCACCTCAAAAACTCGGATTTTTTTGGTTAAAGGTATCTATTGATAGCTGAAAGTCTCTACTTTACCTTAATATGATGAGCTTCTTAACAAATTTACAAGAAGCATTCGCGATCAGGGCAGGGATCAAAAACCATCCTGCAAGCCAATATCTTGTGTCGATACAACAAATTCTGATGCGACAAATGTGGTATTACTACTACATAATACTTTAAGTAGTGCTTGAGCTTCCAACCATTACAACAAGTAGGTTGTGTCCTCATATCGGACTATCGAAGGGTTCCATCAATAAACCTTCAACATGTAGTTAAGAGACAATTATTTTTCTGATATAGCATTTGCATATTGCATCAGCTTTTTGAATTTAATAGGACATGATCAAATGCCAAAAGATGCTTCCAACATGAAAAAATAAAATCCAATCAAGAATCTGTATCACTGATAATTTCAATTTGTACTCCTACAATCGATGAGGCATCGTCAATTGCAAAGTCTTGCAACACCTTTCTTTTATGACCCTTGTCAGTTTAAAATTTTGCGGAAGGTCTTTGAGCAATCTAGACTGCACCCTGGTCGAGTGGCGTTTTCGCAGGTCTAGACGTCGTAGCGGAAGGTCTCTACAATACTCCCTCTAACAAATGACACCCGACAGTAACAAGACTTCGATGTCGAATCGAAGCATCCCTGCGTCTATGCATGCATGTGTTTGCCGTCAGTCTTTGGTGCTGGGACATGCAGCTAACCTTTCATTGGTCCTCTGCACTAGAATGGAACTAAAAAAAATTTCTCCCGTGAAATTGGCATTTGCTACGAACGTCAGTATTGGTCCTCTACTGGTACTGACGGCTACAAGATGCACAGTTGAAGCTTGTGGTATTGGAGGGACGTAAATTGAATGATCTTAAGACATGACCAATGGCGCCCGGGTTGATCAATTAGGAAAATGGCTGAAGCCATTCGACTTATAAAGAAGGGATGCAGTACCCGAGTATGACAGTTCACCACACCTGTGTGGTCTCGTGGTTTGTAATGGGGCAGTTTTCAATGGTGTGAGGTACTCGCTTGTTTGGAACGCTGCATAACAAATTTGCACTATTCCGAAAGGCGAATAGCGCACACAATTTATGCAGCGTTCCAATACTTTCTGAACCAGCGAGTAGTTCTCTACCAGCGAATCAAGTTCGTATCATAGGTTCCATGAAGCGGGTGAGGCTTTGGCCGGCACTGCTCTCACGGATGTCAGCTGGTTTCTCGCTTGTCTTTTTCGCATAATGAACACACTTACCGTCTGCAGTCGTTGATTGCCTCAGTTCTAAATTCAGTCCTGTTTACTTACTTGGAGTAGGGAAACCTATCTTCCATTGAGGTTCCTATGTGTACATGATGGTACATGCAACAAATTGGGTTTGATTGGCCAACA